GAGAGACACAAAAGGAAAAACAAAACAAAACAAAAAAAAAACAGAGAGAATTACTCACTTAGCGGGCCCTGTCACGCGGAACTTCGGGTGGCCTTTGCACAGCGCAAGCCCCACTAGCGTCCCCACCGCTGTCGGCTGCCAGTCGAAGTACAAGATGCACACCGCCCCCACCCAGCAGGCATATCGCACCCAGCCATTGAAGCTGTTGAGGATCTGCACCGGTGTGAAGCCCTGGTGCAGGTACTGCATCACGAAGAGCGCCGCCACAATGTCCCACGGGCCAAACTGCTTCTCTGCCGTGTTGTTCGCCGCGTAGTTGCCAATCCACAACACAAAGCCGGACACCACAGCTGTTGCCGCGCAGTACAGCATGAGGCCGCGAGAGCCAAGTGTGGGTAGCACGCTGTGGCACATGGTGTGTAGAAGCATCATGGCAAATGTCATGGAAAGGAAGTTGTTCATCAGAAGCGAGTGCAAGCCCCATGCGAGCGGCGCGAAGCGCGCGTCGACGCCCCAATTGTCCAGCCACCACTTTTCCTCCACGTTGCTGCCGGTGCTGCACAGACAGAAGACAGTGAAGAGAATGAAGTTGAGGGCGTTGGCGCTATTGTAAATATCAGGAAAGCGCACATAGTCCTCCTTCAGTCCTTGCAGATGGGCGCGGAAACCAGTGGCGGGCTTCTCCTCGGCTTTGCCCTTCTCTCCATCGGGCTTTTGTGCGCCCTCGTCACCCCCACCTTGCTCTTGCTCTTGCTGCTGTTGCGACCCTTCTTCGGCGTGGCCACGGGCGCGCACCCAACGGCGCTGTGTGGCTAACGCCGCGGCGAACGGCGACGCGGGGTGAAAGAATCGCCGCGGGACGTGCAGCGCGTAGCCGACGGGCCGCAGCGCCACACTCCCATGACGGCGCACGAGTGCTTCACACCGAAACGTCACAAATGTGGCGCCCAAGGAGCAGCGCAGTCGTTGCATCGCAATCCTCTCTCTCTCTCCTGTTGCTGTCGGTGCTATTCGCGCCTTTCGCCCTTCCTGTTTCACTGTCCGCGAACAAATATAAATGCCTTCCTCTGTTGGTGTCCTCTCCCGCCAGAGTGCCCCGCTGAAGGAACTTCACACAACATGAGCAAGACGAATTCCAACAGACACAAGAGAGGGAGAGTGGAATATAATCTCAGAGACATACATACACATATGCAGCCACACATAGGGAAAGAAAGGCCCGTACAAAGACACCAACGCATCTCCAGTCGGAGATGACACACTGAGACATCGCACTACAAGTAAATGTTTGATACACACAGCCCCTCACTCTAGCGGCGCCTCTCGCTCTCTCACGTGCCGGGCGCCGGCCTTCACAACACACTATTCGATAGAAACCCATCATAGGCGCTGCATATGCGATAGGAATACGAAAGAAACAAACAACAACAACAAAAAAAACGACAGCAGAAGCAAAAATAAGCACACCAGTATACTAGCAGCTGGATTACATCCAACATCATTAGTCAAATACACCGGCGAGAGGATCGTGCATGCCGTTGACAGAGAAATGAACGTCTGGTGTGCTTCTCACTGCCGCACTTTGATTGAGCCCCGCCAAAGCGCTCGAGCTGCGGAACGCTCTCACAGACGTTTCTCCTACTTGCCTCACTGCCATGTCTACGTGCGCTCTTGCATTTGCTGTTCCTGTGGGCGGCGCTGCTGCACGCACGGGTGTGTAGCGGGTCGCGTGATCA